AGGAGGAGGAGGAGGACGGAGAGCGAAGGAAATAGGAGGAGGAGCCAGGCCTCCAGAGGCGCACTTCGGAGAGAGCGCGCCCGTGGTTACACTCCCAGAGGGGGAGGTGTCCCCCCTTAGCTACCCCCCCCCCCCTGGACCCCCCCTGCTGGAACACCTCCCCCTCCCTTTTTTCCCGCCTCTCGAAAGCTACCCCCCCCCCCCGTTTCGCGCTCCGGAAGCTACCCCACCCCCATCCCTTTCCAAAGGGGTGGGGGAGCTTAGCTACCCCCCCCCCCTTGGACCTCCCCTGCCGAAGCCGCCCCCCCACTCCTTCTTTGCCGCCACTCGGAAGCTCCTCCCCCCCTTTTGGCGCTCCGGAAGCTACCCCTCCTCACCCCCCTTCCCAAAAGGGGGGGGCCTTAGTTACCCCCACCCTCCTTGAACCTCCCCTGCTGGAAGCCCTCCTCACTCTCCCCCTGTTGGCTGTAAGGGGGGGCCGAGAATCAAAAGAGCGCCGAAAAGCAAGAGGGCGCCGAAAGCCAAAAGGGAGCCGAAAACCAAAAGAACGCACAAAAAACCTAAGAGGCGCCGAAAACCAAATAAACGCTCCGAAAACAAGTGGGGCGCCAAAAACCAAAGAAGCGCCAAAAACCAAAAAAGCCCCGAAAACCAGAGCAGCGCCGAAAGCCAAAAGGGCGCCGAAAACCAACGAGCGCCGAAACCCAAAAGGACGCCGAAAACCAAAGGGTCGCCGAACGTGAATAGGACGCCGAAAACCAAAGAGGCGCCGAAAACCAATAGGGAGCCGACAACCAAAAGGCCGTCAAACACTCAAGAGGCACCGAAAACCAAAACGGTGCCGAAAACCAAAGGGGCGCCGAAAACCAAAGGGGCGCCGAAAACCACGAGGGCGCCGAGAACCAAAGGGGCACCGAAAACCAAAGAAACGCAGAAAACCAAAAGCAGCACGAAAACCCAAAAAACGTCGAACACATAAAGGGGCGCCGAAAACCAAAGATGTGCTGGAAACACAAAGAGCGCCGAAAAACAAAAGGACACCGAAAATTATAGAGGCGCCGAAAACCAAAGGGGCGCCGAAAACCAAAGGGACGCCGAACACCCAAGGGGCACCGAAAACTAAAGGGGCGCCAAACACCCAAGGGGCGCCGAAAACCAAAAAGAGCACGAAAACCGAAGGGGCGCCGAAAACCAACGATGCGCCGAAAAACAAAAGGGCTCCGAAAAATCAAAGAGGCACGGATAACCAACAGGGCGCCGAAAACGAAACGGGCGCCGCAAAACAACAAAGCTCCAAAGACGGACAGAGCGCCGAAAACAAAAAGAGCGCCGAAAACCAAGAAGTGACGAAAACCGAAGGGGCACCGAAAAACAAAGGGGCGCCGAAAACCAAAAAGAGCGCCGAAAACCGGAGGGGCGCCGAAAACCAAAGATGGTCCGAAAACCATGAGGGCGCCGAAAAACCCAAGGGGCGCCGATAACCAAAAGGACTTCGAAAATCAAGGGGCGCAGAACGCACAAGGCGCGCCGACAGTCGAAGGGCGCCGAAACCCAAGGGGCACCGAAAACCAAACAGCGCCGAAAACCAAAAGAACGCCGAAAAGTAAAGGGCGCCGAGCACCAAAAGGGAGCCGAAAACCAAGAGGGCGCCGAAAACCAAAGGGGCGCCGCAACCCAAGAGAGCGACGGAAACCAACGATACGCCGGAAACCAAAGGGCGCGCAGAAAACCCGAAAAGGCGCCGAAAACCGACGGAGCGCCGAAAACCAATGGAGCGCCGAAAACCCAAAGGAGCGCCGAAAACAAAAAGGGCGCCGAGAACCAAAGGGGCGCCGAAAACCAAAGAGGCACCGAAAACAAAAAAACGCCAAAAACCGTAAGTACGCCGAAAACCAACGAGGCGCCGAAAACGAAAGAAGAAAATTGGCTTCGAAGACCCCCTTCAGCCAGGGACCTCCAGCTGGAAAAGCCAACAGGAGGGAGGGGAGGGTGGGGTAGCTTCGGAAGCCTCCCCCCTTTGGAAGAGGACCCCGGGCTGACCTTGGGCTCTGGAAAAGAGGGGGGGTAGCTTGGAAGCCCCTCCCCCTTTAGCTTGGGCCTCCCTAGCTCCGAAATGCCCACAGAAGGAAGAAGGGAGTGGGGGGGGCCTTTTCCAAGGGAGGGGGGGGGTAGCTTCAAGCTGGGGCCGCCCAATTTAGTGAGAAGTGCGCCACGAGCGCGCTCGTTCGCACTCAGGCCCAACCCGCCCCCTAGGACCATCTCGATGGGATCCACGTCGTGCGCGATCGCGACCAACTTGGCCTGCTTCTGCTCGACCAGGGTCGTCACGTGGTTCAGCCCGTACTTGATGACCTCTTTTGAGGGCCCTCCTCCCCTCAGATCGGGGCGTCGCGAACATCGTGACGGCCTGTTTTTATACGTGCTCGGCTGGTAAGGCCTCGGGCTGCGCACAACTCGACCACAAGAGACCTTCCACAAGAAACCCAACCCTGAGACCCCGGGACCTCCACTGATTCTCGGTGTGGGATCGTCACGCCTTCCATCGCAAACTCATCGAAACCCAAGAAACCCAGGGCACCCTGGAGGCAAGCAGGATGGATGTGCCTCGGCATGGGCTTCCGCTGTGGGGGGCTGTCTGTGCGCAACCCCCGAAGCCTCACCAGGCTTGAGTCCCTGGGGGCCGCTTCCGGGCCCCGGGGCCGTCGAGAACGGGGCAGGGTGGCGCTGCCAGCGGCCGAGGGTGCTGCAGGGCAGCGCGGGAAGCCCAGGCCGTTCGCGGAGTGGGCCCCGCCGCAGAGCTCTCGGGGTGGACCAGGCACTTCGAGGAACGAGGAGGATCGAGGATCGAGGAGCGCTTCGAGGAACGAGGTGCATCGGGGATCGAGACGCATCGAGGAGGATCGAGCGCTTCGAGGATAGAGGTGCATCGAAGATCGAAAAGGATCGAGCGCTTCGAGGATCGAGGTGGATGGACGCGTCGGGCCATTTTTGCAAGGCCGGGATTTGCCCATCACCACCGCCTGGGGGATCAACCCCATCTCTGGGACGGGATTCGGGGCCTCCTCAACTGCTAGCAGCAGTGGCCTTGGCCCAAAGCGTCCTCCGCTTCTCGCTCCAGTCTTTTAGAACCTCCGCTCTCTCTGAGTCTCGTGAGGAGGGAGGAGGAAGACGAGGAGGAGGAGGAGGAGGAAGAGGAGGGGGAGGAGGAGGGAGGAGGAGGAGGGGGAGGGGGAGCAGGGGGCTGAGGAGCCACCTGGGCCTCCACGGAAATCCTGGGACCACCCTGGGTCCTGAGGAAAACGGGTCCCAGACCCAGGGGGACCTTCCCCAGGACCAGGCTCTTGACCTGAGCAGTCGCCTGACGGTCCAAGACCCGAGGAGGGCCCCGAGAGCCGGAAAATAGCGAAAAACCTCAGGAACGGTTTCCATCAGGACACGCTTCAAGACGAAGCCAGGACGAGGATCGGGGGGAACGGAAGGGAGGGATAGCAAAGGGTAGGGTAGAGCATCAGCTCACGTAGCTGATTTTCCCAGCGCCTCCTGGCGCCGGGAAGCGCCCGGCGGCGGGGCCAAAACCAGCTGCATGCAGCAGATTTCGTAACCCCCCCTCTCCTTATCCCCCCCTTTCGTTCGACCCGAGAGGACAAAGACGGGTGAGGCCAAATCGAGAATCACTGAAATCTGGCAGTTCTTGAGGATGTCTCGGGCGCCGCGGCCTTCTGAGTGTTCTGGAAAGCTCGGAGAGCGTTTTGGAACGCTCTGGGGCGGATTTATCCTCATGAGGCAAGGCGAGCGGCCGCGGGGGGAGGGGCCGCGGGGGGGGGAGGGGGCGCGGGTGGGGGGGGGGGGGGGGCGCGGCGCACGCATAGTATTCCACGTCAGTAAGAAGTAGGTAAAAACATGGAGTAGGAAGGCGGATAAAGTACACGTGTTCCAGGCCCTCCAAGAGAAAACCAAGACACAGCAAGAGCACACCTGCTCTTGAAGTCGGAAGGCGCTTGAGGCAGACCGGGATCTGGAAAAAATCCAGAACCACCTGCTTTCAACAACCAACCTGCAATGTGTTAACTGCATAGAGGCCTCCTACATGGGGTCCGAATCCGAGTGGATAGGGTCGGAGGATCTCGCCGCATCGCCGATACATCGGCGATGCAGCATCGGCCATGCCCTGGCGACGTCGGCGATGCATCGGCGACGTCCGCGCGAAGAACATCGGGCTCCGCATCGGCGATGCATCGGCGATGCATCGGCGCTATGCGGCGCGACCCTCCGACCCCATCTGCCCCGACCCCATCTGGCAGGCCTAGAGGTGTTGCCTGCAGTGTGCCAGGGCGACGCCGACCTCACGGCGAGGCCGACGAGACCACGAGCGCCGACCCGGCCGGTCTCGAGGCCTGCCCCCGTCGGGCGGCGGCCTGGCGGCCGCAGAAGCGCGTCGGAGCAGGGCCAGCGGGCCGCACCACCCGGCGCCGGGCGCACGGGGGCGGAGGGAGGAGGAGGAGGAGGAGGAGGAGGAGGAGAGAAACAACAACGCCCCCCCCAAAAAAAAAACAAAACAAAAAAAAAGAAAAAGAAAAAAACACAACAACGACAACCACCACCCCCCCCCCAAACAGAAAAACGCTGCTGGAGGTTGTCGGGCCACATTCGAATATGGCCTGGGGTGAAAGACCCGTCCCAGAACAACAACAACCACAACAACAACAACAACAACAACAACAACAACAACACAACCACAACCACAACCACAACAACAACAACAGCAACAACAGCAACAGCAACAACAACAACAACAACAATTACTAGCACGTGGGGACACTCCGTTCTCACCAGTGCCAGGGTTTTCATAGGAGGCGGGCAATACCCCCACTTTGTGGGGGGGCCGGTTCAAGCTCTACCAAATTTCCAAACGACTCTTCGCCACCACCCACACCCAGCTTCCCGCCCTATGACGTTCGGACACTTCACTTCGTGGCATGCGGACGACCGTGGCTACTATTCAGGGCCCCGCGGCCGACGACGACGGCGTGCGCGCGCGAAGAAAAAACGAATGTGTCCCGCATGGTATTATTTGACAGGGATGATGGCCCTGGCAGGTGCGCAACCGTTGTCGCAGAAGTTCGAAAAAGTTGCTCGCAAAAGCCCGTTTGACAGAAATGTTTAAAAAGTGTTGGGTTTCCTACGAATCCGCAAGAGCGCGCGGGATGAGATTTTGACATTTTTTTGTTGAAAAACCATTGGTTTTTTGATGTTTTTATGTTAAAATCGCTGCGAACACTAAGGTTTTGGAAGGATTTCGTCTTGCGCGCGCGAATGTCCACTTTACCTTATTTTTTGCAAGGGATTCTTGAAATTTGATTATATTAGAACAAGAAATGTCATTTTCTATTGTTTTTTGCAAGGGAAAGCGGATTACAACAAAACAACCGGATCCTGTACACACCCTCTTTTCTGAGGCTTCCTCACGAAAATGATGAAAATGTAGCTGCGGCCTAGGCGGCGCAGGGGGGGCGCGCACCAGGGGGCCCAACAATAATTATTCTTTAGAATAAATAATGTTCAACAACAACAACAACAACAACAACAACAACAACAACAACAACAACAACAACGACAACGACAACAACAACAACAACAACAACAACAACAGCAGCAACAAGAACAACAGCAACAACAGCAACAACAACAGCAACAACAACAGCGACGACGACATCGTCGTCGACAACAACAACAACAGCAACAACAACAACAACGAGGACGACCACGACAACAACAACAACCAAAACCAAAACAACAACAACAACAACAAGAACAACAACAACGACAACAACAACAGCAAAAACAATAATTAACAACCACAACAACAACAAGAACAACAACCATCACAACAGCAGCAGCAGCCAACAACACCAACAACCACAACAACAACAACAACAACAACAACAACAACAAAGACGACGACGACGACGACGGCGACGACGACGACAAAAACAACAACAGCAACAACAACAACAACAACAACAACCACAACAACAACAATCATTTTAATACTGCTCGCTCTTACTGGCACTCGTGTCTTGCATTCTGTGTACCCCAACCTTCGATACCCGCCCACTTCGTCTACGATTGCACTCCCTTTCGGGGGAATTATCTTCTTTGTCGGCCACTGACTGGAATGCGAGGAATTCTCGAGCGAGAGCGCCGTTCCTGAGTTCGGGGGCCTCTCTGGCCAGGGGCTCTCGGAATACCTATGGAGAAATATCGAACGGGAACCCTTGTCGCCGCGTCTGGGCCTCCACCAAATTGCCTGAATTACGAGAAAGTCTCGAGCGAGAGCGCCGTTCCTGAGTTCGGGAGCCTTCCTGACCAGGGGCTCTCGGAGTAAATCGTGAGGAAGTATCGGGCAAGAGCTCTTGCCGTCGTGGCTGGGCCTCCGCCAACTCCACTGAATTGCGAGGACGTCTCCAGCGAGAGCGCCGTTCCTGAGTTCGGGGGCCTCTCTGGCCAGGATGTCTCGGGATAAATTGCGAGGAAGTATCGGGCGGGAGCCGTTGTCATAGCTGTGCCTGCAAGGGCCCACATTTAGACTCAAGCCAACGATTGCGCGAGAGCCTCGTTTTCAAAGAAAATGTGGCCGGCGCCGAGGCGAGAGCGCGCGGAACCTTTTCCAGAGATCAGCAATAACCATTCTGTAGAAATGAATAATCAACAACAACAACAACAACAACAACAACAACAACAACAACAACAACAACAACAACAACAACAACAACAACGACAACGACAACGACAACGACAACGACAACGACAACGACAACGACGACGACGACGACAACAACGACAACGACAACGACAACAACAGCGACAACGACAACGACAACGACAACAACGACTACAACAACAACAGCAGCAACAAACAACAACAACAACAACAACAACAACAACAACAACAACAACAACAACAACAACAACAACAACAACAACAACAACAACAATAACGGCACCAACAGCACCAACAGCAAAAGCAACAACAGCGACAACGACAATGACCACGACAACGACAACGACAACACCAACAACAACAACGGCAACAACAACTACATCAACATCAACAACAACATCAAAAAAACAACAGCAACGACAACAACAACGACAACAACAGCAGCAGCAGCAACCACAACAACAGCAACAATAAAGACAGCAACAACAGCACCAGCAACAGAAACAGCAACTGCAGCAAGAACAGCAACAACAGCAACAGTAGCAACAATAGCAACATCAGTATAAGCCATAACAACAACAACATCATCAACAACAACAACAACATCAACAACAACAATCATAACAGCATCAATCACAACGACAACAACAGCAGCAATAACAACAATAACAACCACCATGATAATAACAACAACAAACGATAACAACGACGACTACAGCAACAGCAACAAAAAAACAACAGCAGCAACAAAAAAAGCAACAGCAATAATACGAAAAACCTGACCTGTGTTTCTAACACTGGAACTAATAACACTTATACGCAACAAACAAGCGGCGTCAGATGTAGGGGCAGACAAAACCAGGAGCACGCAGGCAAGATGATGACTTCGACGGCGGAGAAGCGGAGGAGCCGGGAAGCGAGCAGGAGGAGAGGAGAATTCGGAGGCACTCGCGTAGCCGCACTGTTTTCAAATCGCAGTCGATGTCCATCCAGAGAGCCGAAAGGCATCGTAGCAAGCTGGACCGACGATACCAGATCGGTGCAAGCGACACTGCGCCCAAGAACGGACCACACAAGGCCAGGCCGGTGCACGGCAGACAGTGACAAAAAAGAGGGCGATATGCTTGTCGCTGGATGGGCTGGCGGGGACACTTTTTTTCGGTTGCGTCCACCAGCGAAGGCGCCAGCGGAGTCAGGAGCGCTACGGGACACGAAGGCGGCCTAATTAGCTACTAAACGCGCCGCAGGCCGGCCAGCGCTGGCGGGGACACGCGAACAGTTCAGAATAAGCCACGAAGCAGCCAGGCACAGGCGGCGCAGCGGGCAGCCGTGCGGGCAACAGCGGCGGCGCGGAAATTCAATCGATTCGTGTGCCGACCTGTTTTGACATCAATTTCGTCTCGGGCAAGATGTCTATTATTACATGAGTGTGTGCCGCTGGTTTGGCTCACCCTCTTGACATAGACCCGTTCGCACTTTAGAGTCAGAACATCGGCGAAGCCATGTTCTCAATGACTGCAGGTAGCCTTCGGCCGAGGAGCAAGCGGTGGCCGCCCAGGCGAACAAGGGCGATGCTGCTGGGAAGGCCGAGGGGAGGGGAAAGGAGGGAGGGAGGGGAGCCGAGGGAAAACGAGAAACGAGCAGCCTCCTCCTCCTCCTCCTCCTCCTCCTCCTCCTCCTCCTCCTCCTCCTCCTCCTCCTCCTCCTCCTCCTCCTCCTCCTCCTCCTCCTCCTCCTATGGTAATTGAGGGGACGGTGAGGGGGGCGGCAGGAACGGGACAGTGGGGGAAGGCTCGGTGGCAACTCGCGGGAGCCTCTCATGCCATCTTGCTGGCTTTTGCGAATCGACGCCAACCGACGCGAATCGACGCGAATCGACGGCAATCGACGCTAACCGACGCTAACCGACGCTAAATCGAGGCGATCTCATCGACTAGCTACCAGACGCTGATGCATTTCAGAGACGGAATTGAGGGTACATAAGGCTCCCACGATTTGTTACCGAAGGGGATGGGGGATGAAAGAGAGACTGAGGGCGCCTAAGGACACACAAATGAATAGACACAACTCCCAGGATTCCCTCGTATGCCTCTACATGTTCTGGATGTCAGTCTTCCCCTCCACTTCCCATATGTTCTCCCCTGCGTTCCTGGCTTCTCCCCTCCTGAGATATGGGGGACGGGGAGCGAGGGGGTGGAGAGGAGAGAGCGGCCAGCTACGGCGGGGGGGAGCCTGGGGCTTCTTGGTCTTCACCTCCTGGCCGTCCTGCGGCGCGCGTCGGTATCGCCACGGCCCTCTCCCTCCTGGACGCCCTGGCCGCCGTCGTACACACACACACACACACACACACACACACATCGCGCGCGCCTCCAGTCATGGGGCTCGACACCCGGGCGAACAACAACATTCCATCGAGCCCGCGAGAACGAAGAGTGACGCATGACCAGAGAAACCTACACTGAGCAGCTCAATGACGGGGAGGAGACAGTGCGTGATTCGGCTTGTAAGTGTGGCCAAGCTAGCATTAGGTCGGCCACGTCCTCTAACAGGCGGATTCTAGAAGAAAACTTACAAGAAGTCCCATACTAATCAAAAACAGCCCAGATAGCACGAACGATCGTCCCCTGTTATGTGTTTGGCATGCCCGACTTAAAGCTAGCATTCTCCTTCGGCCCGTGTCGCGGTCCTTCTTCTGCTGGGCCATCTCCATGAGCCTGGCCTTCTTCTCCTGCACAGCGCGGGGGAGCGAAACGGAGGAGGTGCTGAGGAGGAGCAGGGAGGAAGGGGAGGGGGAGGGAAGACTTATGATGACGACGCGCCAGAGGCGGGCTGGGCTTACGTACCGATTCCATTCCCAGGCTCACACGGGAGGGAGGAGGAAGAGGAGGAGGAGGTACAGGGAAGGATAAGAAGGGAGAGGAGGAGAAGAGAGAGAACGACGACGCCGACGCCGACGCCGACGACGCCGACGCCGACGCCGACGCCGACGCCGACGCCGACGCCGACGCCGACGCCGACGCCGACGCCGACGCCGACGCCGACGCCGACGCCGACGCCGACGACGACGACGACGACGACGACGACGACGACGACGACGACGACGACGACGTGGGGCGAAAGAGGACTCGGAGGCGGGGAGACCGGCTCCCCACACCCGAGCCCCACGCTCGCAGGGGGCGCCCCGCTGCCCAGACCTCCGACGTCGCGACTCTGCACGCAGTGGTTCCCCAGAGGTCTGGACCCCTTCCCCTGGGGCGTGGCTCAGTGGGGGGTGGCGCTACAGTCAGGAATTCCCGCTCGGCGCGTCGCCGCGGCCACCCCGGCGACCCGCTGCGCGCTGCGGGCGGACGCCGCGCCGCTCCGCCGCGCGGGACGGCGGGCGGGGAGAGGCTCGGGGCACGGACGCGGCGGAGCGACACGCTGTCCAGAAGTTCCTGGCCATAAGCGGTGGGGCGAAGACACGGGCACCGTTCGTGCCCCTTTGGGGCCCCAGAGGGCCTCTCCAGGGCCCCGAAGGTGCACGAGAGCTGCACCTCCCTTCAACCCCACTTACCGCCCCCCCATGACACAACTCCCGAGACCCAGGGACCAGCTTTTCATCCAGGGACGCTGCTTGATGGTAGGCAGGGCTGTTTAATAAACGCCCAGGGCCGTTTAGTAAGCGCCAATTATCCAGTCTGGGTGGTTTTCCCTCCCTTGACTCAAGACCCCCTCCTCGGCAGTCTCGGGCATGTACTTCTTCATCAGCTTGAAGAGCTGCGCTGCCTCGCGGGACGTTAGGTGCGCGGCGTTCACCCCGACAGTTATGATGGACGGCGACACCGACCAACATCGCTTCGTCATAAGCGTCGTCGTCACTGTCGCCACAAGGGCTGCGGCTGAGAGCAAAACGCGTATCATCGTCTGGGTGACGCTCCGCCAGGCGAGTCTGACAACGGCTTGATTCCTGTATGTCCAGCTTCCGAGGGTCACAGCTACACTTCACTCGACAGGGGCCCCTTTGCCAGAAGCCAAAGAAGTCCAGAGGGAAGCGAGCCCTGTACCCCAGAGCTCTCCCCAGCCCGCAGGGCCCCCTTTCGTCAGGACCCAGTGTCTTCTGGCGAGGGGAGGTCTCTGGAGGTCTCTGGAGGCCCTCGGAGGCCTCCAAAGGCCCCAGGCGTTCCTCGACAGAGGACCCAAGAGGCCCCTGGAGGCCCAAAAAATGTGGAAAGCCACACCCACAACTCGCTAAGGGCTGGACGACTTTCCTCCCATCGACTTGCGGGGATCAGGCCAGGTAGATAAAGGTAAATCCACATAAATCGACGCACATCCAGATAAATCTATCTGAATCCAAGGCGTGTGAAACATTTGGCTGTCCCCCTCCCCCTTTCCCCCACCCACCCTCCTTGGTCCATCACGCCGTTTGAGGGGGAAGGGGTGCACGCCCCCCCCGCTGAGTCCATGAGCTCGCCAACACTTCTCCCAGGACGTCTGGAGCCTCCAGAAGGCCCACAAGGTGCTCCCGGACGACCACCGAAGGGGCCCCAAAGAGCAAAATCGCTCCATGCCCTGAGGACATTTACAGCATACTCGCCTGTTTGGTCTTGACAGCGTCCAGGACGTCCCAAAGGGCCCCAAGAGGGCTCCAGGGGCTCCCAAGATGGCCCAAAAGAGCGCCAAGACGAATTGACATTTCGACCCAAGATGGCCCCAAGAAACCCCCAAAGCCCCCGAGGCGTCACCAAGAGGTCATCAGAGGTCTCCACGAGGCTCCCAAGAAGCCCCTAAGGGGCCCTCAGGAAGCCCCGAAAAGAACACCGATGCCCCGAAGAGCGCTCCAACAGGCCAACCTGGGGGGGCGGCGGAATGGCATAAGCCACTTGAATGAATCGAGGCAAATCTATAGATGCCCCCGCAAGTCTGAAGAAAGCGCAGAAGCTCCAGTGCGAGTCGAAGGGCAGCAGGGGCCGTGAATCCCTCAGCGAGAAACGCTCGATCCTCAGCCCTCGAACCCCGAGGCTCGCTCCAACTTCAGCGCGCACTCCTTGGATCGATGCTGGACCCCCCTCACTGGCGCGCGGAGCGAGCCAGGGGCGGCGACGGAGACGCCGCCAGGGGGGGCCCCGCGCGGGCCCAGGAACTCCGCACGGACCTCCTGAAGTCTACAGTGGGGGCGTTGACCTAAGGAACCCAACAGAAGGAACGAGGCCCCTTTTTTCCATAAGGTAAACTTGGATTTCCGATCGAAAACAGAAGGAAAACCTGAGGCAAGCTGCGAAACACTTGAGGAACGCGGAGCCCCTCCCCAACGAAAAGGGTTCCTTCTTCAGGACCCCGACTGTACGATGTGGCGCTTCTTCTGCTGCGATTGACAGCCCCACGGTGGATGCCAGCTGGACTGTGAACACGCTCGAATGGTTGCATCACCTAGCACAAGTTGCCCCGGCTTGGCCTGCGTCGAGCTCAGCCTCGCGGGCTGCGGCAGCGCGTGCAGCATCGAAGAGCTCTGCCTCGGCCTGTCTTGGAGCGATCTTGGGGGCCTCCTGGGCCGTGGGAGGCGCTGCCAAAGCCAAAGAAGCGAACATGCTGGATATGCACGATTTCCTGGACAGGTTGGGACGATGTTTGCCTCGTTGAGCCCTCTTGGGAATGCAATTGTTGTCCTCGCGCTCGACGGGTGTCCCCGCACAACCCTGCGACATGCAATCAAACACCTTGAGCACACACTCTGCAGCGGCCTTGAAACGCCTCTTCAAATTTCCGTCCGGCCTGACCGTTGATTCGCCGAAATGCTGGCGAAAGCTGGGTGCAAACATTATGTGAACACGCCGCGGCCCACCTAAAACACGGGCCCTCCTGAGCGACGGCTGAGGCGAGGGGCAAACATGGAAGTGCTCTTAGGGCCCTCTCGGAGCCACCTGTGGGCCCCCTGGGGCAGTCTGCAAGCCACGCAGCCCTGCCCGACCGACCTGCGGGAGCTTGTGCTGTCGCTGGCTGACTGCCAGGGCTTCGAAAGAGGGCGGGCCCCGTCCTGCCAGCCGCCCGGGAGAAAGACGGACGTCCCTCTGGCCGCCCAAGCCCAGAGGCGGCAGGAGGCCGAGGAGGTCCGCCTAACAGCCGCTCTCGCGGTGTCTCTTTTCTCTGCGCCTCAAGGCCGAAGACAACGACGACTACGACGACGGCGACGTCTTCGGTTCGAAAGATATGGAGCGTTTCTGGAGGCTCGCGCCACCACGGCTGAACGCAACTCGAGAAACAAGACAGGATGGACCTCAGGAAAGATCCTGGAACCAATTGTGAACGGATCCAGGCTCTGAGCTTACACAAAATAGCGTCCATCACATGGCTTACACCGCAGATCTTACACCACATAGCTCACGCTGCATTGAGTTAAACAACATAGCCTGCATCAAAGAGCTTACACAACAGTCGGCGGCGAGCGACGGTGGGCAGTGAGAGGAAGCAGGCCTTCCCAGAAGGCTCGAAATCCGTGGGCCTTCTGGGACGTTTGCTAAACCGTCCCCGGAAAAACAAAGAAGTACTCAGAAGGCGCGAAGGCTTCTGAGAAGTCCCGCCGCCTTCTGACAAAGACATTTCCTTCTCACTTCCCCCCATCGCTCGCCGCCGACCGTAGATTTTCCTCTTTTTTTTTAATTTACCACCACCCCCCACCCCGGCTTCATGGGTACACCTTCTTGTGTTGCAATTTACATACGACTCTGCCCCATCGCCCATCCTAACTATGAACTCGTAGTATCCCCTCCCAGCCAGGTTCGACACCCCCTCCAATCCTCTGCACAAAATAGTATGCGCGCACACTCGCTTATCACAAATTACAATTTTGTATGAATTGACGAAGTGCACGCGCGCGCATGCCGAAATCCTTTATATTTCAAAATAATGTCAACAGTAGTAATATTGAGAATACGAATAATACCTCTTATATATCTATAGACTATATCAAAACAATGTGTGTCGGACGGATTTCGTAATCGAGTGACAAAATCGAAGACCTATTTTGGAGAGAAAAAATGGCAACCAACATGGATTGCGCGGGCGCGTTTTTTCGAATGTTTGAAAAAACACTTCGATATGTTGTTCGAATGTTTTTGTTTTCAACATGTTCGATAAAGCCAATACTACCAAACGGGCTACGCGCGCGCGTGTCGAAATCGTTCGACAATCCTTGCGCGTGTTCCGTCTCGAAGAACCTTTACAAACGGGACGAAGTGCACACGCGCGCGTCGTCGCGCGCGCATGCAGAAATCCTTCAAACAAAATCGGCTTCGAAACGATATCAAAACCGAATGTCCAAAAACATTCAGAAACACATGATTTCGGGACATTAGTTTTCAACAACACCCAAGAAAAATTGCGCGCGTTTTCTTCCGGAAAGCTCAGGAAGCAAACCGAAACGACCGAACCGAACCGGGCGGAACCGAACAGGCGCAAACCGCACTTTCTATCAACAAGAACCGATCCAGAACCGAACGAGACCCAATTCTGAATCGAACCGAACCGAATCGGAATCAATTTCGAAAAGAACCAGGCCGCACGAGCTGGAACCGCCATGAACCGGAGGTTTCCAGGGCCCTGATTTTGCAAGTCTCGAGGCCGTTCGGCCCCGAGGCCCCCCAAGGCCCCGATTCTGCAAGTCCCACGAGCCCCCCCGGGGCCCCGATTTTGCAGGCCCCCGGAGGCCCCCCGGGGCCCCGATTCTGCAAGTCCCCGGAAGCCCCCCCTGTGTCCAGGGACTTGCAAAATCAGGCCCCCGGGTGGCCTCTGGGCCTTGCAAAGAGGCCTCCGGTACTTGCCATATGGCTTCTGGGACTTGCAAAATGGCTTCCGAAAGGTGCAACATGGCATTCGGGACTTGCAAAAAGACCTCCAGGACTCGCAAAATGACCTCCGGGACTTGCAAACTGCGTCTGAGATTTGCAAAATGCCCTCTGGGACTTTCAAAATCGCGCCCGGGACCTGCAAAATCGTTACTGGCACTAGCAAAAACGCGTCCGGGACTTGCAAAAAGGCTTCTGGAACTTGCAAGATCGCCCCTGCGACTTGCAAAATGGCGTCGGTGACTTGCAAAGACGCATCTTTGACTTGCAGATTCACCTCCGGGACTGCTCCGTGGCGAACCCCCTTCTCCGTGGCGAACCGGGCGGAACTGGAGCGAAACGCATGGCGATCCAGGCCCCCTTCTCCGTGGCGAACCAAGCGGAGCCGGAGCGAAACGCATGGCGATCCGGGCCGAACCAAACTGCACACCTCACAATGACGAACCGAACCGAACCGAACCGGAGAATTCCGACACCGAACCGAATCGAACCGGACGCACTTCGGAACCTAACCGAACCGAACGGACCGGACCCTTCATGGCTCTTGCGAAGTCTTGAACAAACAATCGGTCCTCTGGCGCCGCATGCCGACATCATTCGCACGCCCTTGCGCGCGTGCTGGGGGGGCGCGATCCGTGTCAAAAAACAATGCGGGCCACTCTCGCGCGTGGGCCGCGCGCGCATGTCGAACTCTTTCCCAAAATTTCATCACCGACGCGAGGACGCCGTCATCGTCGTCGGCGTGATCAGCATCGGCGCCCGCCCTGGCCGCGCTTTCGTCGGTGCGAACATCGTGACCAGCATCGCTACTATCATCATCGTGTCTACCGTTGTCGGCGTTGCCATGATACCGCGCCCGCCCAAGACGCCGACTCGCAGTGAAGTGGCCGCTGAGAGGATGCGCCCAGCGGTCAGCACCACCGCGGCTACGTCGGTGGCGCCGAG